CGCAGCTGATGATGTTTGCGGCTCCTCTTTGGATTGCGGTTTTGGTTGGGGTTTTAGTGGGCTGGACATGGAAGCCCAGGTGGGCTAATTTCAACGGCGACTTTTCTGTTTCTGCGAGTGTTTCCTCCAGCTCCTCTACTTCCTTTTCTTCTATACGTCGGATGGTCGCGCAACACTTGTCAGGTTTCGTTCCGAGCTTCAATTCGTTCAAAATACTTCAACTGCACAGCTGCATTCCTGGCGTCTCTGACGATGATGGGTTTGACAAACAGAATCCCCCCGCTTTGCCTTCTTCTTCAAGCTCACCTCCTAGGTTGGTTGGTTGGTCGGTCGAAATATCTTGTTGCTGTTATACAAGTATTTCTTTGAATTTCTAAATTGTTCTACGTTGCTGTGGCCCTGCTTGCCAAACGCGAGCAAACAAATTAAGTGTGATCGTCTAGTCTTTATTTTGCATAATGTCTCCAATTACAATAGTCGCAATTCCATTTGTTCAGTTCATCAAATGTAGAAAAGTCCAGTCTTGTGAATGAGGACGACCTTAAGCACGTTTGCCTGCTCACTAAGGAGAAAGACGGTGGCCCTTCTTGGGTTCAGATGATGAATCGGTCTAATGATAATATGAGCTGCGAAGCTTGGCGGAGGGATCCTGAGGTAGTTATTTCTTTAAAGTTTTCAGCTTTGAGAATTCAATCCTCTTTCTGGAAGTTGATTTGTGATTGTACTTTCCTGAATGTATCCAATTGACTGCATCTGTCTTTTCTAGACTGGACCACCGCAGTACCGCACTAGAACTGTGTATGAGAATGCTACTCCCGAACTGGTGAGGGATTTTTTTTGGGATGATGAGTTTAGGCTCAAATGGGATGACATGCTCTCACACGCTGAAACTTTGGAAGATTGTCCTACCACTGGAACCATGGTGGTCCAGTGGGTTCGTAAGGTAAGGGGTGTATTTATAGTCTTCTTCCTTCGTGTCGCGGCGGTATTTTGGCCACTTATATAACCCCATTCTTCTTTTCTTGTGCAGTTTCCTTTCTTTTGTAGTGACAGAGAGTACATCATGGGCCGGCGGATTTGGAGATCGGGAAATACATACTATTGCGTGACCAAGGTAGGGGAAGAAATGTTCATCTTTGAAATTAAAGAATAAATGACTTCTCATGCATCTAGTTCGGCTGAATCTACATGTGTGGTACTGCCTGATAGTTTGTCGTATGTGCAGGAATATTTGGATGTCTGTTGTTATTGTATAGGGAAATTTGATTAATCTGTTTGTGGGATGGGAAACATCAATTGTATTCAAGCAACACAAAACTAGATATTAATCCTTTGGCCTTTCTCTTCTCCTTTTCTGCGCTCCACTTTTACCCCCTTATTCTTATCAATTGTGAGATAAGACTGCGGAATGTCTTCTACTAGAAGTGGGGATTTTGAATTTTACAGCAGCATTACCAATAGAGCTTTCAAGTTTGTTCCATGCAATAGTCAAGGAACAGGTAGAGGTTTAGAAAATTGACTAAAACAGGTTAATGAATTGACTTGTCTATCAGATGACTAGGATTCTGGTTGAAAAAAGGGATATTGAGCTCTGGAGCTGCTTTAAACTATTCTGGGGATCAAAAGCATTGTATGACTTTTGCCTCTAAAATCTGCTGGTGACAAAGAGCAGACTAGTGAATAGGCATGGATCAATCTCCAATTTTCATGGTTAATGTCTTGACTGTCTCTGGTTTTAGATGGCTTGCTTCACTGAGTATTTTGATTGTGTATTCTTTGGTTCTTGTTATGGTTCCTTGTTCCCTACTACCGTGCACCTCTAGGTCCTCCTTTCTCTGAATGACACTCTCAAGGTTGAGTTTTTAGTGCGTTACACAGTTTGAATGAAGTGATTGGGAGGAAAGAGAGAAGAGCACAAAGGATTTGGACTTTCAACTTGAATTGATTCAGGCGAAAGAAATCTGAGAATTATAGGGTAAAGCCAAAGATAGGTCAAAGCCACTAAAGCTTGAATCTTTGTTACGGTCCACAATTTGGTTTAAATGGTAGGAAATGAAAATCATTCATTGAGACTATATTTTGTTCATAAAAACCTTTTGTCTTCTCATCTCTTCTCCCTTTTTCCCAAGAGCATCGGACACATTTCATTTCCCATTAACATAAATATAGAATACTGTTGTGTGGTTATAGACCAGACATACTATTTAGGTTACATCTCTGTTGTTGCCTTCGGCCATGTGAAAGCCAGCATTTGGTATATAGGGGTATTATTTTTGTATTTCTACTTGTATATTGCTGATAGAGATTTTCGTTCTGTCTATATGGAACTGTTTGAGGCTAAAGAAGGGGACTGAAGATAGAAATGTTGGTATCTTTCATCTCTATTTTGGTTCTTGATTTGGCCTTGGGTTCTTCACTTATCATGTTTCTGTGTATTCTATTCTTGTGATCTGGTGGAAAAAACACATGTATTATTAGAAACCAGTGGTATCGACGCCTGCACACATGCATACAGAGTGCTACTCTTAGTGGGCAAGCTACAATAGTGTGCTGCAAGTTGTTCTTATTTCAATGGTAAAAGTGAACTCTTTGCAGTCCTGGACTTTTCTATCAGTAATTCGAGTCCATAAATTGACCCTTGTGACTGCTTTCTCGAAGGTGTCCTTGGACCTATATCGTTGGTGTTGTTGCATTCATACACTGATTTTTATGTTATGTTATGTGTCTTCTATACATCATTTTAGGACATGTTCATTTATATCTGTCACTGGAATAATTGGAGTATGTCTCTCTACATTTCAGGGTGTGCCAAACTCCACTATTCCACGCCGTCAAAAACCAAGATGTTGATTTATACTATTCCAGTTGGTGCATCCGTGCAGGTAGTCAGTTTGACATGGTGGTTTTAGAAACTGATTCGATGGTATTGGAGGATGCCAGTATGTAATATTGTAGAAGTGTAACAGCTTTACATTGTCTGCTAAAATTAATCACAAATTCTTTTCCATCTACAATTCCAAAATTGAATTGTTTGTTTGAAGATCTTTAGCAAGTGAGTTTGCCATAGATGTGGAAGATTGTTTAACCCCTTTGGAACTTAGAGGCTTGTTTTGGAATTCATAACAACTAATTCATGCTTTGAAACTTGATTTTGTAACAGTTGAATCTAGGAGAGGTGACAGCTGACTGCGTGCGAGGTTTTGCTTTTTCATCATGAGGACATGGGTATCCCTTGGGAGATTGCAAAAACTTGGCGTGCGACAAGGCATGTGGGGTGCTGTCAAAAAAATTGACCCGCTTTACGTGCATATCAGAAGCAAAGAGCATCTGGAGTGCCACTTTCGCGCTGTGCGTTCTTGGCTCAGATCAATTCAAAAGTTAGCGTGGACTACCTGAGGTGGTTGGAGAGCACGAGCAGTTTGTCTGAGGTTGAAACTCTGGCTTCACCAGAGAAGCCATCTGGGAGGAACCTGCCAAGTACTTGGTTGTTGGTGGGGCGATTGCCCTTGCCTGCACTCTAGACCGTGGGCTTTTGACAAAAGCAGTCATATTTGGAGTTGCTAGAAGGTTTTGTAAGACAGTTGTGATGTCGTCGAGCCGGTGCATGTGGAAGATTGTTTTCCAAGGGCGTTACTGCTGCTCCAACGGAGGGTATCGGATTGCGAGGGTTGTGGGGAAGGTGTTAAACATTCCCTGTCTGTAACAGAGCCAGAAGAACAGGTCGGGAGAAGAGAGACAGAGAATAGGTTGCATGCATGGTTACTGTTCTTTGAAATGTCAATACATGCATGGTTGAAGTATCTGATTGCACCGGAAGTTTCACCCTCCTCCATTGATCCTCTCGCTTCACCTCAGCCATTTGTTTCTACTTTTATGTACTACTACTAGACAGCAGCGTATTTTTTTGTCTCCCAAGAACATTACAGAAATAATAATAATAAATCTAATTGGCCCGCAATTGTTTTTAGGTTTTTTCTCCTCATCGCCTCTCTTCCCACTTCTCCTCAAACTGAGGAAGTGGTATTATGTGAAACTGATTCACCATGCGCTGAGCGTGTCTCTGCATAAATAAAACACGAGAGCCTTCCAAGTTAAAGGGATCTTAAGCTGAGACTCCGTCCAGAGTTGAAGAAGCGTGTCCCGTCCCTCTTGGCAAACCGGACAGAAAGAGGATGCAGGTATTATGCCAGGATTGACCGGTTAATTGAGATCAAGTGTCACACGTGACGTGACCGGAGTTCATTGAATCACTTTTATTAGTATTATTACTCCCTCCGTCTCGTTTTGTTAGTCTTGATTTTTTTTTTCACACAGATTAAGAAAGTGTAATTAATTTGGTTGGAAACATAAATTTAGATTAATAATTTCCTAAAATACCCTTATGCTAATCAATGTAGTCAATGTATTCAATGTATTGGAAAAGCTCAATGTATTCAATGTAGTGGGTGAGTATTTAATAACAATGTATTAATAACAAGATATTTAATAAGGGTATTTTAGACAATTTGAAAGATTACTACATTTTTTAATGGGAAAGTGGACTACAATTTGGGACAGACGAAAAAGGAAAACAAGACTAACAAAGTGGGACGGAGGGAGTATTATTTTTTGGGCAGCGTGACAGTTCAAGTATTATACGAAATCATTTAAGGTTTGATTATATAGCTAGTTTTGGCTATTTTTGCAGGAAGATTAGGTGTTCAAATGGTAAAGATTATTGTGACAAGGTAGAGCTATCTGTCTTTAAACAACTATTCCTCAAATCTAAGTTACCCCAATACTGGATGTGGGCATTGATTAATAATAAATATCGGATTCATGCATGACATGGGGCGGGACCAATATTAGGTGATTACTCAAGTTACAAATAGGAAAGCGTGGGATTTGTACCCAACCAACGAGTCATCCAAACAGTTAAAAAAAAAAAAAATGTTTGAAGAAAAAGTTGCCTATACATTAAATAATGTTGCATGCGTCTTAAAAATACCAATTTTTGCCATACATTAATAACTGCTAATTTGAAAAAGTTTTATACTGACAATATATAAAAATTTAATCCAAAAATTTGTAGTAGAAGATTTATCCCGCGGAAAATATTCTCCAGCAGCGGCAGGCCAGTGCGAAATCCGGTGGGGGAGTTCGTCGGATTCTTCCAATCCGGTCAAATTAAATTTCGCATTGGGGATTGAACGTCCCCATAAGAATCAGACGGCTGGGAGAGATGAAAGGCTCATCATGCGCTCTCGTTGTGTCATGTGTGCGTTCTCTCCGCTTCCACGGTGGCCCTCTCCTCCTCCTCAGGTGACCGCCACCTCACCTTTGCCACCCCTTGTCCCAATCAGGTATTGATATATGTGTGTGTCTATATATATATATATATATATTTGTCTATGTTATTGTTGTTGAATTTGTTGGTTAATTGATTTTCACTTTGAATCTTTGCGCCCTAAGACATCCTCTGTGATTATTTAACCAAAACAAAATTAAGAAATGGATATCTTCTGGAGCAGGAATTTTCACAATCCTCTGCCTCTTCTCCGGCGGGGAATGAGAGGGGAAAGAATTGGGGGCGGAAGGCAAGTCTAGAAAAGGAGAATTTTGCTCCAAGATTCGATGGGTTGAGGTTCATTGAGACTTTGGTCACGGCCCACAGGTGAAAGCTGCCGAAATGGTGGTGAGGCACTTGTGCCAAGGAAATGGTGGTATCAGTTCTTTAAGATTTCATTGTTTTAAAATTCATACACAAAAGAGAAACCCATAATTTGCCTTTGATTTTGATTTTTTTTCTAAATTGTGATTCCGGATTGATGAGTGACACTTTTTTTTTTTTGTTTTGTCTCTTTCGTCTGAGATGTGATGTAATCCAAGAGAAGAGGATTTAAGATTCATTAATTCTCTTTTTATGTGATTTAAGCTAGAAGTTTTTTTTCCTTTTTTTTGGTCAACCGCAACTTTCTATTCTAACTTATATTAAGGAAGGGTCCAACTTATATTAAATGAGGATTCCACTTCTAGATCAACGATGTGCATTATTGCATACTCTTTGAATTTTACTATAGATGCAAATGTTTGAACCCCTAGCCTAGCCTGCATGTTATGTTATGTTTCACCTCGTGGCCAACTCACCTAATAAAAATTGAATCATTTCATTTTTCACGTATGCCACATGAAAAGGATATCTCAGTCTTATTATTGTACTAGTGCTAATTGATTGGATAGAGTGTGTTTAATTTTTACCTTGGTAAAGGATCAGTTTTCGGTAGGAAGAGGCCATCAGCTATATATGGTTTGTATGCAGTTTGTTAAGGATCAATTATTCAAATGAACTGTTTCCTTTGTACGAGTTGGAGACACTGAGCAGGCAGGAGGGGCTGCTATCTAAGCATCCACTCATGTGTCTACCAGTCAGTTTCTCAAAGCTTGTCCTTCCAAGGGCCACTGGCTTTTTTGTCATTCTTTTCTTGGCTCTTGCATTAGCACAGAGGAGGAAACCTGTTTACTGATTTACTACTACTTTTTTCCCTTGGGGTGGGAGGTATCTCTATCTGTTTGCCATTCCTTTGATTTCTGCAATCAATATGATGGTTTTACTGCTGAATCAACTTTCAACATATTAATGACCACGAACACGAACGAAAAATGGACGAAGACAAGAGAAGGTATTGATGGGTCGATGGTACTACTTGTACCGATCATGCTCTCTCAAGTCAAGCAAAATATGGATTGAATAGTAAAATATGGCAGATCCGGTGCAGATGGCTTATCAAGTTTTCAAAACCTGCTTTCCCAGTGAAACCGTTTGTTCCCAAAACAGGCAGATATCGACCGGGGCCTGGAGCTTTTGTGATTCGAACCGCATATCATAATCTATGGTAATATATCTTTAATCTATGGTAATATATAATTCAAGCACCGCATAACTGGTTACCGGTTGCGTTTTCAAATACATTTTGATCTCTTTTTTTATTGTTAGTAATGTAGTCAAATAAATCTTCTCTTGTTTCTAAATAATAATAAAAGACCACTTGTTCATGCGCGTGTCAATATCGATAATGTATAGGGACAACTAGCGGAGCCAGAATTGATTGCCTTTACTAGGCCCTCACTTCATGCTGCCATTCCAGTGGAAGTTTTTGGAAAAAACTTTTGTTGATTCATCAACTTGTACGATGCAACAGATTGTGTGAACGATACCACAAATCTCAAATTGTTTTGCCAAAATTAGGAGGACGTGTATTCGGTTACTCATGTGAAAGATGCATTTGAGATTTTGGTTTCCACAAAATCTAGCAAGTGGCCATGTAGTAGGCAAATAAAATAATACGTCTCAATCGATCGCTGCAAGTTTCTCTGTGTTTTTAGTTGGCCTTTCTTTCTCACACCATCATCACCACGTAGCTGTTGTATGGTGATATTTGAGAATGGGGGATGCCAGCCAAGGCACCGCTGTGGTGATAAAGGAACCGTGCTAGTGGCATAAAGAAAATGGGATAATGTCAGAAAGTAAATATTTGAAAGTAAAATACATGCAAAGAGCTGGTACTTTAAATAGGCAATACGTATTTGTCTATAAATTACGCTCGTTAAAGTTTATTAATTGTTAATTAATTTATAATACTTTGCCATTCATTGGACATGTGGCACAAAGGACAAATCAGGTACAAAATTTTAATTTCACTCTCTAAAATAATATTTTAATCATTTGGACTGAATTTGTAAAGGATTAGTAACTTCAGGGGAGGCCAGTGTAATTGTTCAAACCACAGGGGAAATAAGTGTAAATGTTAGAAACCTCAGGGGAGGTTTCTGAAATTATCCAAAGAAAATTCACGTGGTTTGATGAATGATGACCTTCTTCTTCAAATTGGTCAAATGTTCATGCTCAGCACCTACTTGAGTTTTGGTTTAGTGTGCCAACCTGACTTCTTGGTGGCGGGAGCAAAAAAGAGCAGACAATATGACACCAGGGCCACCAAAGTCTCTTCTTGAACTGTAAGTGATGGTTCAAATCTCATCTGTAACGAAAAAAATCTAAGAGTTATGTCATAACACTCCCTAAATTTAATTGTGACAAAAAAAAAAAATGACACCCGACGCGATTGTGCTTCCCCTCCCCATCACCTCTACTGTAGCTGCTAATTTGCACTGCTCCAATATACTACAGTATTATTATTACTAGCTTATTTGGATATCAAATTTTTTTAAATAATATTTCATTTACATTATAAACACATTTTTTAACTAATCCGTTTGTATGCTTAATTATTTTTTTCAATTTATATATATCACATTATAAAAAATATCAGAATAATTATTTTAAATAATAATACTCTATCCAAACAAATCCAATAGCACTTTAGCATGCTAACCAAAACTTTCAGAGTAGCATGGATTAGGTATTAATTACTTTTACCACTACCCACCGTAGCCCCCTCCGTACTCTCTCCTCATTCCTCCTCCCTTGCCCCCTCCCTTCCCAACCCCCTCTCTTCCTGCTCTAGTGGTGGCCAGTGTGATCGGAGAGGGGAAGCAGTTGATTGACGTTGTTGTTTTTTTTTTTTTTTTTCTATTATTATAAATAAATAAATAATATGGGCAGGTGTCAAAGGACTCAAAACTGAGCCATAGGATATTGCATGGTGGCAGTTCTAGAGTGGGTAGGGTCACTGGCATGAAACGGGAACCGTGAACAATTATATGTTGTCGCAAGTAGTAGTAGTAAGTATTAGAAGAAATCGGACAAAACAAAAAAGAAGAAAGGAGGAGGTGCGGTTAACCCGTTTGGCGTTGGACCGGAACGGTGGCGGGCCCAGTGTAGACCACAGCCGTGAATTTCTGGAGTTGTACTGTGCGCCCATTCCCTCACATCACCAGCTAGTGCTTCGCGTCGTTGTCAATTGTCCTTGTCAACTCCGACGACAAAATATCTGAAAAGGATGACGGACTCGCATCTCATCTCAATGGACCTGTTTTTTGGTCAAATTTATTTCTACAAATTTTTAAATAAGTTTAACTATTACAGTAACATCCAAAAAAATTTTTAAAAATTATACATTTCAAAATATTCAAGAATTTACACACATTAAACATTTTTTTTTACAACTTTTATAATAAATTTTTAGAGAAATATTTAAAAAATTTATTTGTCAAACAGGCAATGTTTGAAATGAGGGAGACATCAAATTTTTTGGGGCATATATTCTCCCGGACAATTTGGCAAAACTCATTTTTACTGTATAATTTTTCATGAATGATTAAACTTAGAGACTATTTGTATTGCTATTTTTTAAAATTTTTATAAAAAAAAATACTATAATAATGTGATTTAATGTACGTAAGATAAAAATATTTTTATTAAACCTTTTTGTACTTTGTACGTATAGCAATTGCAGAGACACGCGTGCCTGTCTGTTTGGGTAGAACATATTATTTAGAAATATTTTTTTGAAAAAATAATGCTGTAAAACATTTTGTATTAAAAATTTATGTCCATAATGAATTTTTTTTTTTAAATGAAGAGGGCCACGTGGCAAGCGGCATTGCCGTTGCTACAAATAAATGGGAGGAGGAGAGTGGGGAGGAGCACTAAACAATTTGCAGAATTCAGGCTTTGTCAATCAACCCACCGAAAGAGCAGTAGCGAGTCTCTGCTACTCTACGGGTTCTCTCATTTCACAGTTGTTACTACTACTAACTTCCTGCTTTCCTCCCTCGCTGCTCCTACTAGGTAAATTTCCCACTTCCTGCTTTTATCCTTCTCTCTCTCTCTCTCTGTTTTTAGATAAGATATGAAACATAAATATGAATTTGGGCTGTCTATCTTAAGATTAAGATTGTTGTTACTCCACCTTCTTTCTTTATTTGTTGGTTTCTTTATTTGTTTGTTATTCATTGCTGCTAGTACTGCTACCAGTGTTTAGTAGCAGTAGTATCATGAAATGTAGAGATTTTGTCATCAACAAAGAGGGAAAAGGTCCTGATTTTCCGCAAGGATGATCCGGAAATATAATATCTACTACCCAAGCAACGCAGCACGAAACTGCTTCCCATTCCAGTTCCAAATATCTCCACCGTCATCCCTAACCCTGCCTTAACATCAATCTGCTTCTGCTGCCTTCCATCTCTTCTCAACATAAATTCTTCCACCACCTGTATGTGTATGTGTATGTGTATGTGTATGTGTGACTGAATACATCCTCTGAATGCTTGCTCTTTTGGTATTTTAATTTGGGGTATTAACCAAATAATAATAATAATTCTTCCCCCCTCTGTCCGTCTCTGTTCCAGGCTCAACAGGCATATCAGTTATGGCCACCGTGACTACTTCTCGCTTCGTCTCAAGATCCTCAAATGTGCACCACCACCCTCCGCCGCCTCCTGCAGACTCCTCCGCCTATTTGGCGCATCTGGGTCTCCGACCTCAAACTGTAACCCATCATGGCTTGAGAGCAGTGAGCAGACTCAACCTCCACCATACCAGAGCCACTGCCAAACCAACCGAACTCCACAAATCCGCTCACGCTCACGCTCACGGGCCTTCCGGAACCATCGTCTGCGGAACAGGAGCCTGTTTCGTCTTTGTGGCCGCTGAAGTCGCTCCTTGGAGCAAAACTGGTGGCCTCGGGGATGTTTTGGGAGGATTGCCACCTGCTTTGGCTGTATGTCATCTTCTTCCACTCTTACCTCTCCTCTTCCATTTCCCAATCTGTGGTTTATCCCAAACCAACCTAACTCCTCTACTCATTTCAAATAGCTGTCTAGTAGAACTACTTAAATACCCGCTTCATATTGTGTGAAGATTACAGTACAGGTCAGAAGGTATATTGACTTTATCCCAATGCCAGCCAGCACTTTGGTGGGGGACTTTTCAATTTTACTTGTGAACATGGATGAATTGCACACTTGTTTATTATTATTATTATTATTATTATTATTTATTTTCATTCCTTTCTCTGTTTTTTTTTGGGTATCTAAATTTTCTTCTCTATTTTGGCCTCAATATGTGCTTCTTGTGCAGGGCTTGGGTCACCGAGTGATGACTGTTGCACCTCGTTATGATCAGTACAAAGATGGTTGGGATACAAGTGTGCTTGTCCAGGTAAATTGCGACGATCATTGTGTTCGAGTTTTGCATGGGTGTTTTAACTGACCAAATTCCACTTCACAGATCAAGGTCGGAGATAGAATTGAGGTTGTTCGTTTTTTCCACTGCTACAAGCGTGGAGTAGATCGTGTTTTTGTGGATCATCCAATCTTTCTCGAGAAGGTTAGCAATATCTGTATAAACCCCTCTTTGTTGTTCTAGAATGGGGTACTGTATCACAGCCGTTATGTAGGAGACGTGGGAACATGCTAGGTGTGAGTCTAATGCTTGAAACTTTGAACTCTTTTAAAGGTTTGGGGCAAAACTGGATCAAAGATCTATGGTCCTAGGGCTGGAGATGATTACCAGGACAACCAGCTGCGGTTCAGCTTGTTGTGCCAAGTAAACACCGCTCAGTTGCTGTCTTTTGTATTTCATGATTGATTTACAACACTTAGCATCTGTACACGAGCTGCTTTTAGGCACTTAGCATGTCTTTTGGTCACCGACTCTGTTCTGAGTCACTTCCATTTTACTGTTCCCAGGCAGCTTTGGAGGCACCACGAATTTTGAGTTTAAACAATAGCAAATACTTCTCTGGAACATATGGTACTTACTCTTGCATTTGGGATTGAGGAATTCCACTGCACTGTGGAAACAGCTTCATAATTGCAAATAATTGCTTCCTGTTGCAGGAGAGGATGTTATCTTCATTGCCAATGATTGGCATTGTGCTCTTCTACCATGCTACCTGAAGACTATGTACCAGTCTAGAGGAATCTACATGAATGCTAAAGTAAGAATTCATCTAGGTTCTCGTTGAAGGTAATCTCGCTGCTACAAAATTGAGGAATCAATGTTGTAGTCTGAATCTATGACTGATCATTGGTGCCAGGTTGCTTTCTGCATTCACAACATTGCCTACCAGGGAAGATTTCCTTTTGCAGACTTCTCTCTTCTCAATCTCCCTGATCAATATAAGAGTTCCTTTGACTTCATTGATGGGTATGAATGCTAAAATTTTAGATGAAATGATTGATTAGAGTTCTCTGTACAGCACTATACTATGTCTTCTTGGGTAAAGCCATTCTGTCCATGTTGCAGATATGACAAACCAGTGAAAGGAAGGAAAATTAACTGGATGAAGGCTGGAATTTTGGAGTCAAACAGGGTCTTAACTGTGAGCCCGTACTATGCCCTGGAGCTTGTTTCTGGCATTGAAAAGGGTGTGGAATTGGACAATATTCTCCGCATGAAATGCGTAACAGGAATTGTGAATGGAATGGATACCCACGAGTGGAATCCGGCGACTGATAAATATATTTCTGCCAATTATGACATTACGACTGTAAGATTTCTGTTCCTACTTTCATTTCTATAGCACTCGTGAAGCTTTTAGCGTTCTTTTCTGATCCTCCTGCGGCAATTAGATTTTTTTTTTTATTTTTATAATTTAACTGACTTTCATCTTTGTTTTAGGTTATGCATGCAAAGGCCCTACTAAAAGAAGCTCTCCAAGCTGCTGTTGGATTACCAGTTGACAGGAATATTCCGCTGATTGGCTTCATTGGCAGGCTCGAAGAGCAGAAAGGATCAGACATCCTTGTTGCCGCCATTCCCAAGCTCATTCACATGAATGTTCAGATAGTAATCCTTGTAAGTGGTACTGGATTTTGAGCTACTGTCTGCTGTTACAGTACGGGGATTGCATTATAAAGTCTACTGTTCTTTTTCATCAGGGGACTGGCAAAAGGAAATTTGAGAAGCAGATTGAACAGCTTGAGGTGATGTACCCCGACAAAGCAAGAGGAGTGGCAAAATTCAATGTCCCATTAGCCCACATGATTATTGCTGGAGCTGACTTTATGCTGCTTCCAAGTAGATTTGAACCTTGTGGTCTAATTCAACTGCACGCCATGCGCTATGGAACAGTATGAATCTCTCACTAATTTTTATTTTGAATTTTTTCTGTTGAACCGTGTAAGGTGCATTATAACACTTCATGGATGTGTGCGCTCGCCTCTTTGGATCTTTGTCAAAGTTCTAGCATCCATTTCTGATGAGATTCCTTGCTGCTTTCGAGACAGGTGCCTATATGTGCTTCGACTGGTGGACTCGTTGACACGGTCAAAGATGGCTACACGGGGTTCCATATGGGAGCCTTCAGCGTTGAAGTAAGTAACAGTATTCACGTTTTACTTGGCTGCCTGCATTCATTCCTTGGTCGCTTAAATCCCCCTCAGAATGCATCCATGTGTTAGTTGCATGGTGAGATAATGAGAAGTGGTCTTGGGTTGTGAACAGTGCGATGCGGTTGATCCAGCTGACATCCTCAAGATCGTAGTGACTGTAGCCAGAGCTCTCGCTAGCTATGGAACCCTTGCCCTAAAAGAGATGATTAGAAATTGCATGTCACAGGAGCTCTCCTGGAAGGTAGTAAAGATTGGATGCATCCCTTGATAACTAGCGTCTCCAGGAGATAAATAAGGAAAGAGCTGAAAAGTTAATACTAATAATAATGTTTATTGCTTGCAGGGGCCTGCTAAGAAGTGGGAAACAGTGTTGGTGAGCTTAGGTGTTGCTGGGAGTGAAGCTGGTGTTGACGGAGACGAAATTGCCCCACTCGCCAAGGAAAACGTTGCCACACCTTGAGTGTCATCCATCATCCAGCTTAGCTATATATAGTTAGCCTATTGCCTCGCACCTTTTAACCCTTTTTAATAAAAGCGAAGTAACGGATCAGGTGAAGCTTTATCTAATAGTACTTGTAAAAATCGCCAGCATTGTTATTGTTGTTGTGGGGGGGGGGGGGTATTTTTGTGTTTCATCCAGTTTTCTGGTTAGGATAAAGAGATTATTATGCCTGCAGATTATGCTTTTGTTGAGCTGTTGCTGGAAAGGTGGATTTGGAGGAGAGGAAAAAGGGGATGATGAATGAATGTAGTATAATAGATAGATAAATAAGACCGTAACAAACTGCGGTGTGGCTCAATCGACGACCGTAGAGCTTGTTCTCGAGCACCATGTGAAATAAATAAATCAATAGAAAATTCTTACCGTTGACTCGGGAGGCGCATTTCTATGTTATTGATGGGCGCCGGAGCGGGGCGGGACTCCGCTCTGGAAGCTCTTATTGACGCTGAGAGGTTTGTTTGGGGTTGTGGGTGATGTACCGAACTCGTCTGTTTTGTTTCCCCGCCGGAACCGGAACTCGGTCATACGAGCACAGCGGCGTAAATCGTCTGAAAAGATTGATTAGTGTAGCGTCGTCGGGGTGGTGGGCTCTTGGGAAAGTGTTAGTTAGTCGTCCATGTCTATGTCTATGACGACTCCATTCATTGTTAGCTCCAGTCCAGACTCCAGACTCAGAGGAGCCTCGCCTGACCTGACCTGGAATCTTCTTCTTCTTCCTTTTTTTTTTTATGTTTTTTTGGTTCAATTTATTTTGAGTTTTGACACTTGAAGAAAGGATCACAGCAGCCCCTCTGGGACCTTCTTTAAAATATCATCTGAGTTTGCTCATCTTCCACGAAACCGAAACCCCCGTTCAGAAAGGGGAAAGAAGTCCCGGTCCGCTGTTGGTTCTCCAATCTTTATCCCTCCCAAACATTAAGAAACAAAAAAATGAAAATGGTAAAGCAGCCAGTAGTTAGAAAGCATGTGAAACGAGACAAAACACTATCTATTAACACTTTTCGGCTAAAGCGCGCTTAGGCATCATTATCTTGTCTGCTGCTGCTGATGATTTTGCTGCTCAGCATCCACCACCCGTTGGTACAAAAAAAAAAAGCGGAATGGACCAGAGAGAGAACCCGCTTTTTACATTTACAACGGAACAGCAGCGACCTTCATATCATATCACATGAGATGTAACTACCAATAATACTGCTACTACTACTGTACAGCACAGTAGTATTGGTGTATTCTGATGAAAAATTATACTAAGTAGCTCTAGTCTAGACGGAGAAGAGAGGGAGAGGAGAGGGGCCTGGACGGTTGTCTCACGGCCTGGACGAGATCTAAAAAATTTGTGCAGTTCAGATCACATTTTATAACTTGATTTTTATATCGTGTGAAACTCACAAAAATATTATTCTAATGTTACTCACTGTTATTACAGATGATGTTACACCATGTACATATGATGTTACACCTTTCAGAGCAACAGTCAGAGAGGAGAGGAGGGGCATCTCTTCGCTGCCCTGCTCTCCCTGCTATATGCTCTATCCCTTGTTTTGTTGGTACTAGGAGGTATAAACCGTGCTATGCACGGTGGGAAAAATAGATGGAGATGCCCAGTCCAGTAAAATGATTTGTACTTAATCCAAAATAGACCCATTAATGGTACAAATAAACCAAAATTAGAGCAAACTTTAATATAACAAGGGCACCCCTAAGCCAGCGGAATTGAGGATGGCTGCATCCTTGATCAATAAAAGCTCAAGCCTCCTAAGTATGTAATCATGTAAAAAATAGTAAGTGTTATTCTCAACAAAATATCAAAATATTAGAGAATTTTGTCCAAATTGCCATCCACGTTTGCTATCTCAAGGCTAGATTGCATTATGATTTAGTTATAAGATCCATCAATTTTCCAATGATGCAACTACTTAAACTTGTAAACATCATCCAGAGTTAGATTTTGTTATCTTATCATGCTCTCAAAATACTGAAAACATTTATATTAATATAATTTTTGAACTATAAGTGCAGAAAGTAGACCCTATTCCAAATCTTCGTGATTCATATGAGATAAAATATACGAGAGCAGGAAAAATATGAGAACTCAAATATACCGAGAGCAGGAAAATCATGAAGGGATGGATACAAATTTCATCTAACAATATAAAAATCAGTAATCACCATGCTGTGATGCACTTTCTTAGTTTACATAATCCGACTAAAGATAAATTCTGAAGCCAAAACAACAGGAGTAAAATTTTATATGCCTTTCCTCTTCAAGAAAATAACAGCAAAAGAAATTCTAAAATGGGGAATAAATCAACGAGTCCTTATTTCATGGAGTCTTCTACATTGCATACTTGGGAACCTCCTGTGAACAAAGAATGCACAAATACCGATCCGCTTTGGAATGAGTACCAATTTTGTCAACTATTTACACACAAGGAGTATGCTCTCACACCCTCCAAAATCACAAAGGTAAAGTGCCATTGGTATAGATACAAGGCAAAAAATGGAATTACAATATACAATAGCATAGTCTAGACGGAGAGAGGGAGAGGAGGAGGGGCCTGGACGGTTGTCTCAGGCTGTTCACGGCCTGGACGAGACCTGAAAAATTTGTGCAGTTCAGATCACATTTTATAACTTGATTTTTATACCGTGTGGAACTCACAAAAATATTGATAGAGTTTGGATTGTAAGTTATTTGAAATATTTTTACTATAGCACTTTTTGTGATGTGATGTATGTGAGATAAAAAGGTAATTGGGAAGATAAAAAGGTGTATTGGAAATTGTAATGGTGATGTCAGCAAATATATTTGGCCAAATAATTGGCTGTCCAAACACACTTATTATTTTAATGTTACTCATTGTTATTACAAATGGTGTTACGTCATGTACAAATGATGTTACACCTTTCAGAGCGAGGAGGGGCATCTCTTCTCTGCCCTGCTCTCCCTGCTATGCTCTATCCCTTGTTTTGTTGGTATAAATAAATACTACCAACCCCTTTTGGTTTGGCCATCCCTCCTCTCCATCTCCAGTCCTGAGTCCACTCTCTCTCTCTCTCTTTTCCACTGTCCATAGCCTTAGCGTGTTGTGTTGTGCTGTCCTCCATTTTAGTGTGGAGGATTGGAATCTAAACCCATAAAGGAAAAGCTTTTGGTTTTCTTTAAGGGCGGGCTGCTGCTACGACACTCCCTCCGTAGAGTAGATCAAGAATGGATCGATCAAGAAGATCTACGATGATGATCTACGTATCGACCAAAAAAGAAGATCTGCGATGATGATAGACAGGCACTTCATAAAACAAGTGAAACAAAAGATGGAAACAAAAGAAGAAGGCTGCTGCTGCTGCTTCACTCTTCTCCGCCTCCACAACCACCGCGTTTCTTCACTACTCTTGATTCTCTTCGTCGTCGTCGTCTCACCAGGTACGCTCTCAATTGAATCAACAAACTCCTCCTCCTATCTAATAATACGCTTGGGGTCCTTTTTTTTCTTCCACACTGCCCATTACAAAGAAAACATATTATCATGTGTGTAATAAACAGAATTCATCACTTGCGCGGCTCCCATTGCCATTAACTACGGCCAGATCGCCAACAACCTCCCTTCCCCAGAATCTGTCGTCCCTCTCGTCAAATCCATCGGCGCCACCCGCCTCAAGCTCTACGACGCCGACCCCACCGTCCTCAAGGCCTTCGCCAACACCGGTGTCGAGTTCATCGTCAGCCTCGGCAACCAGTACCTTTCCAAGACCAGGGACCCCAAGCAAGCTCTTGCCTGGGTCAAGGCCAACGTCCAACCCTTCCTCCCGCCACCAGAATCACCTGCATCGCCGTCGGCAACGAGGTCCTCACCTTCAACGACACCTCCCTCTCCTCCAACCTCCTCCCCGCTATGCAGAGCGTCTACTCCGCCCTCTGCTCCCTCAACCTCCAGGACAAGGTCTCCGTCACCACCGCCCACTCCCTCGCCGTCCTCCAGACCTCCTACCCCCCCTCCGCCGGCAGGTTCCGCCCGGACCTCGCCCCCTGCTTGACCGCCATCCTCAACTTCCACCTCAAGACCGGCTCCCCTTTCCTCATCAATGCCTACCCCTACTTCGCCTACAAGGCCAACCCCAAGCAGGTCCCACTCGAGTTCGTCCTTTTCCAGCCCAACCCCGGGATCCTCGATCCCGCCACCAATCTCCACTACGACAACATGCTTTTCGCCCAGATCGACGCCGTCCATTCCGCCGTCGAGTCCCTGGGTTCAAGGACGACGCCGTGTGCGTCCAGATCTCCGAGACCGGCTGGCCCTCCAAGGGGGACGCCGACGAGGCCGGAGCCACCCCGGAGAATGCCAAGAAGTACAACGGCAACCTCATCAACAAGCTGGTGTGCGGGAAGAAGGGGACGCCCATGAGGCCCAACGCCGACTTGAACATCTATGTATTCGCCCTTTTCAACGAGAACATGAAGTCCGGCCCAACCTCCGAGAGGAACTACGGCCTCTTCAAGCCGGATGGCTCCCCGGCCTACTACATTGGCTTCAACGGGACCGGCCTCCTTTCCACTTCCTCCAATACCTCCAGTACTCCTAGCAGTACTGGTAGTAGCAGCAGCAGCAGTAGTAGTGTTCCTCCTGGCTCCTCCTCCGGTGGTCCCACTTCTTCCACTGGCTATTTATCCATCACCTCCGATGCGGTGAGTTTTGCAGTTGCTCCTCCTCAAGTCCTTAACCTCCTCAGTGGAGGAGGGTGCTACTTGCTCACTAGTGTTGTGGTACTAATACGTAGTAATTTTTTATTTATTCCCATTATCAGTAGTTTTAGTAAATTATTATTCGAGCGGAAAAGTGCCTGCCCCAACTCGAACAACATCGAGGATTCTTTTGTTTTGTTTCTTAGTACTACCATACTACAAAAAAGAAAAAGAAAAAAATCTTGCCACATTTATAATTATTCCAAGTGCAATCTTCATACACATCTAACCTTTGTCATATCTATTGCTTGAATGAACTGCACATGGGTTTTCATAGTCATGGCTCATTAGATACAATTCCCTGCTTCAAAATGTTTTTGCGCAACTCTTCATTGCTCAAATTGCACTTTTGGTACATGGGTTGCTTCTTGCATTGCTCAAATTGTTGTTTGAAATACATATATCTATTATATATATATATATACACACTACTAATTTAGATTCCAAGGAGGGTTTTGTTTCATGTTTGATGATGATGATGCCAATAGCGGCCATGGTACTAGCTAGTAGTATCAGAGTAACCGAGTTGCTTTAATCAGCATCGATGGATACTACATTCATCAATCAGTCCTTGGTTCTGAGGGAATGAATTCCGAACCTAATTGAAGTTTGTCTTTGTGCTACTTTCAGGGATTACATGCTTTGCCCAGTGCAGTGCCGCACTTGTTACTGATGATTTGTTGGCTCGTATTGTTGCTGGCCTTCCAACTTCCAAGAGAACATTAGACAAATCACAATTGAGTATTATTGCCCCCACTGGGAGAAGGGGGGGGGGGGAGCATCTTCATTATATAGGCTTTGAGGGTTGGGGAAAAGAATTGAGATTCTCCTTTGATCGAGTCTTTGAGGGCTTTGGCTGGCCTTTTATTTATCATTATCAGAAGAGTAGTGCTACTAGTAGTGTAGTGGAGTGGGTTCAGCAGAACTAAGCACAGTAGGAGCCTCCTCTTATGTTGTCTGTAGGACCATCAAAGTTTGATGTGGACGACGGTAGCTGAGTCAGAGTGGCGCATAATCCTGGACGGTTGTTGCCCACCGTCGCCTGCTCTTCCTTCCTGTATTCTTTCATTTATTTATTTGCACTTATTGTTGGTATTCTACCCATTACCCCATCACTTATTATTGGTTATTTCTATTGTCAGACGGTCAGAAGAACTACTAGGGAGGGGAGGATCCGAGTTATGTTTAGCACTTTGCTGCTTTTTTTTTTTTTTTGGTTACGTAGGCATCTATTTCTATTTGGCCACTATTCACTACAAAGGAGCAACAATTACAATTTGCTATCCATCCAAATCGACAAAGCGCATGCAGCAATGCGCAATTAGCGTAACAGAAGGGAAAGCTGCTAACATAACGCAGAACAGAATGACCATTTAGCGGTAAAGTGGGACTTCATCTTAGTATTATGTTTTCATGATCGATCTTTTACAGGAACGCGCTACCAGAAGAATTATTATATCCTTGGCAACTGAAACTGGAAAGATACCTAAAAACCGAAACCTCGCAAATGTTCTGTATAATAGCCAATAAAAAAAGCTCATTTGGAATTCATGCCATCATATTTGCAGCGTTAAAGCTTTGAACACGCCACATTCATTAGTTATCGCATTGAAATTGTTAGAACATGGATCTCACTACGCTGAAATGTTAGAACATGAAGAATGGATGACAATGTTCCAGAGTGGGGGTTTACATTTATAAAATCTAAAAAAAAAAAAAAAAAGAAAAGAAAAGAAAGAAAAATCAGCTACCCAGTTACCGCCGATCGAAAAAGACTTGATAACCCGATCAACCGTCCAAAATTTTCCTCAAAAATAGTACACGTCCTTCACCTAAAGCAAATGTGCTGGTCTCTGCCAACTTTTACTTATCAGTTCTCCGTCATAAATTTCCCCACTATTTTAAGTACAACAGCTTACAACTTAAGACTTCACCATTCCATCTGGCCGCATAATGTTTGCCTTCTATCCAACATGCAAAAGCATCTGTTCCCCCCAACTCCGCAGAAGCAAAGCATGGTTTACCACAAGTATAGAGCCACATTCATATAATGCATAAAGAATACTACTCTATTACCAAAAGAATTTTAGCACCACAACTGCCTTCAAAAAGCTCTATAACCATGCGATGGTTCACCCACTGCTCCATTTGGTTTACCTCTTACTCTTCGGTAGAACAACACATAAGCAGCTGACGTCTTGATCTCATCTTCACTGACTGGTGAAACATGAGCATCATCAAAATGATACCATCTGTTGTCATCTATTAACTGCACATATAAACACATCCCCAAAACTTTTAATAAGACCAACAATATATATAATTTTGCACGTGTCATATATATCTAATGGTGATAGTGTATACATTGGCGGTGTATATAAAATTAATCCACACACACACACAGTTCCAAAAATTTCAACTCCATCCAAGAATATCAGCTACTGCAACATCAGAATTGCTTTCCAGTACCACAATGCACAACTATTATGTGGCATGAGGTTGCTAGAAGCAATTAAAACAATGAAACAGATTAATATGGGAGATACATCTGGATTTTCCTTGTTTGTATTGCCATGTAATGCAAAGGGAAAGTACCTTGCAGTATGCAGAATAATGCCCCCCACCTAGGCCACCGTAATGGTTACTAATGGCATATAGCTCGTAGACATGAGATCCTTCAGATGCTTCATTGCTTTTTACATAATTGCTCAAATCAAGATTGCAGGTGGGAAAATTCACAAAGGTGTCAAGTTTGTTCTTCAGCCACCTGCTGTATGAAAACCTTTTTAAATGAAAAACCAATATATCGGGCAACCTCCACAAATCCAACTTCTTACTGGCTTGTCTATGCTCCTTGCAGCGTGGACAATACCTGCAGCATAAAAAATATAAGAAACTTTTTCACCAGACTGCACAGATGACAGGATTCTGTTGTATAACTGAGCAGTCTACCGTACCACATATCGTCAGGCCCCAAAGGTTCCTCTTTTAAGAAGGCATCAAGGCACGAAAACAAAGAAATAGCTTCCTGTTTTGTCTTTTTCATAGTAAGTCCAGTCTTGTGAACCTCAGGCAGGTCTTTGAGGTAGCTGGCATCATACAAATCAAACTCTCTCTCTGTCCAATCGAGCATAACTTTTAACAACTCGACCAAATTTGATTACAGTCTCCTTTTGAAATACGTCTGCGACTTAAACCACTGTCCTCCATTATACAAAGATGAAATGACAAAGAATTGATAGACATTTCTTCTGATTCACAGTTCTCTGCAGACTGTGTCCCGGGTCCTAACTGGGTACTGCAGCCATTGGTTGATTCCCTGCCATTACGAATTGAAATAGATGATGAATATCCTTTCTTTCGTAGAGGAGACAGCATTCGGTGTACAGCGAGATCAATATCTGCTCCAGACTGAGGGTCTTCCAAGAAAGTAATAAGTGGTGTCAAGAAAAGCTTCCTCTCACTAGCCCTCAGATTATCGCTGGAAAAATGCAAACTAATCAACAAAAATATCAATGAAGGAAAAAAAATTAATAAACAAAACAGACTCATTGAAGGGATGTCCATTTCCTGAAATAAGGCATCGAAAAAATCAGAAGAATGAAATCACATAAAAAATGTATTACTGCAAACTGTAGATGCTATTTCCATATCTAGACATGTTAACTAATCACTCCACAAGCAGATAAGATTCACATGCACACATATTTCCTAATCACTCTCGACAAACTCTATTTTTATTTCTTTTCTGCAATCGATTTATGTTATGTAATGCTCCAGCCAAAGATATCATTAAAGTGACTGAGGGAAAAAAAGAAAACAAAAACAGAATAGGGTCCCATTTGGAATTTCATGGCTTTCTGAGAAAAAAAAGGGTGCTTGCTTAGATTGTCTGGTCGGATACCTGCAGAAGTACTTTTGGTGTTCATAACCATTTGGGTTTTAATCTTTCTAAACACATATCATATCATACTAGTCAAACTTCATCTAATATATATATTTTTTAAACTTGAAAAGCCTGCAAAAGCACAATTTCTAGCTTGTATTAAAAGCGCTTTGCTACCAAAAGCTCTTCCTAGATTCAAGGAGAGGATAACCAAACAAACACCTTTAAAATGCTTTTGTTCTCCAAAAGTACTTTTCCAAAAAACAACTGCAACTCCAAATGTGATCTAAATAACTTGAACTACACGCACTTTGTATTGCAAAACAAGGACTTTCTCCGATTCGGTGAGCTATCTCCAGCCTTGTTAATTCAGCACCATTCTTGGGAGTCTGAATGCAACAATATGTTCATCGTCCTTAATTGTACCCAGCACTTCAGAAGGATTTTCCAAGTATCTATATATTCGATGCTCATAGACCTGGAGTTCGAAAGTTTTCTGGTTCAACTAACAGATACGATATATGGCATAAAATTAGCACAAAATCAAACAAAATTTGTCACCTCTGCAAGCAACAGATATTCATCAGTCCTTAAGCAGCAAGCTGCACCTAAAGCTTGAATCAGATCTTTACAGCAGCCATGTTTTAACACAGTGACTGTATAGGGCATTGGAAGGCCACTCCATCGCCATAAAAAACTGTAACTGTCATTGTTCTTGTAGCTGTTGAAGGAAGAGGCAATGACAAGTACATGAAGGGGTCAAATGTTATTGATATCTTGTTGCAAACCGGGCAAACCAATGTTGACTTATATTGACCCTGGCAGTTGAACACCAAAAAAAAGCATTATCAAACACATGGCACATTAGAAAATATTGAGAACACTTAAGATTAGTCAAAACATTCTTCAAATTGAAGAAAAGATAGTGCTCAGATAGCTAAGCTCCTGTTTACCACTGTATACGAGAATACACAACTATGCTTCCGTTCACTGTTTGCTGCCGTCAGAAAACCATAATCTTAAACAAGTAATCATCAATACCAGGGGAAAGTGGAGCTTGATGTATTGAGCAGACATATGCTCAATTAATTTCTGGACTCATGGATTTCTCTAACTTAAAAAACCATTTGACAAGAAGATTAACTTAAATACTAATCAATATGGAGACAAGTCAACGTAATGAATATGAGAAGCCACCTGGCAAACATCAACTATGATGGAGTCATTTCTAGCCTTGTGATATCTCCAATATTCATCGGCTACCTCCTCATCTGGGCGACCATCAGAATCCTTCGTCTCAATGTATGGCTTTTGCTTTACACGATTCAAATCTTCATGCAGCCCATCAAGGAGAAAGGCAGGAGTTCCTAGACAAAAAGGTGCATCAACATTCTTCCACATCTATTGCTTTTAAATACATGACCATAGAACAAAAAACAACCAACTAAATTGCCACTGGAAAGGAACAATGAAAAAATACACACATACAAACCACCATACACAACTAAAACTGACACAACAATTTAACTCCTAACCATCATTTTTTGAATAACCTGACCTTATTAATTATAAGGCATAGGGGGGTATAACATATGAACTCATTAAAGCATAAAAAATTTGAAAAAACCCCATTTCTGTGACAATCTTCAAGGTGCAGTAGTCACAAGATATTAAAGAATTTGAAAGATATTGTACCCATAACAGATGCAATGAACAATAACCTAACAAGAATAAAAAATTCAAAATCAGAAACATAGCAGCAAAAATCTTACACAAGTTATCTACCTGTGAATCATGCTGGTTATAACCACTAAACTGCGGAGCAAAACGAGCAAGTTTTGTCTTGAAAGCTCGGGTGCAACTGGTGTCCGCCCAGATGACCATAGTTTCCTCAAGAGTTCACCAAAAGCAAGTGCAAGCTCACCCTGCAGAACTACAACAAAATATTAGAAACTTAATCCGACTGCTTCTACTTTGCAAATTGCAAAGTAGACAAAGAAGAAGTACGTACATGCATTCCTAAAGGATTTTGTCTGTTGATCTCGCTGCTGTAGTCTTCCAAGAAGTACTCAAAAATGGGTGGTGTATGAACCAAACATTGAATAGCACTGTTCATAAAGCATGTATTCCCTAAATTTTGCAATCCTGCCAATCCACCTCTATCCACTCTGGTCATAGATCTTGAACTCTCATATCCATCCTCCATATCCCCATTCGTGGA